GGCGGTTCTTGCTGATCTTCTGGGGGAGGGGCCTGTTGCCGTGGTTCCCAAATGTCTTTGCCGGAGGTGGAATTGCCCCGCCCTTGCCGGTCCGGGCTAAGTAATCTGCTCAGGTTTGCTCTCAGGAGCTTTCGTTCCCTGCAAGCTTTCCGTCCAGCTTTGGAGGACCAGAATGAAAACAGCGGCTTCCCAATCTCCGCCCCGGAGGAGCCGAGAACTCGGGGCCCCGCTCCTCAGTGCGCCCCCAGAGAAAAGCAGTCAATCACTCCCGTCTCCCCGGTCGCTGGCCACACTCCATGCTCACCCGGCCTGTGACCGCGCGTTCCTATCTCTGGCACACGACCCCGTGTGGAGTCTCCAAACCCAGCAGATCCCTGTGATGCGCTCCCGCACCTCTCCTCCCAGGGAAGGAAGGGGAGTCTCCCCCGATCTGCCGCTTGTTGGGTCCCTGCTGGAGGAGCAGTGGCCCGACTGTGCCGTGGATCACGGTTTATGGCAACCCCCAGCTGAGAGCCCGCGCCTCGGCTCCGTCTCTGCAGCCGGCTTCCCCACTCTGATACCTGGGAGCTCTGCCGCACTCAGGCACCCCAGGTCTTTCTGTGACCCCGAGGGTCCTGAGACCACACTGTCCCGCGAGGGTTCCACCCCCCGCTTAGCCACTGGAGCGACGCCCCTCAGTGGAGCAGACTTCTAAAAGTTCCGATTTTGTGCTCCGCCGCTCTATCACTTGCCAGAAGCGGCCGACAGAGGCCCCCTCCCCCGCCGTCTGTCCTCCCGAATATCGCCTCAGATTCACTTCTCCGCACGTCCTACCTTCCAGAAAGTGGTCGCTTTTCTGTTCAGAGAGTTGTTGCTATTCTTTTCTTCCATCTCCTGTTGACGTCGTAGGTGTTCAGAATGGTTTGATCCCTATCCAGCTGAATTCCTGGAACCAGACGAAATCCAGGTCTCCTACTCCTCTGCCGTCTTGCTCCTGGATTTCTGTCATGGAATTTTTGCATTAATCTCATTTGTGTCTTTGTTTCTTGTTTACTTCTGATTTGGGCTAAATCCTTCCCAACCTACTGAGTGACTGACCCCTGGTATCTGATTGGAACTCAAACCTCTACCTATTACATTCCCACCAAAGGTCATAATTTAAGCTGTTTTCAGGTGTTGACACCTTGCTGTGAATGAAGTAAAATGAGATCAAGTTCTGCTCAGGAGAAATTAGGGGGCCAGGTAACCAGAGAGCTGGGGTCAACTTCCGGGGGAAGAAAGTAATCTTCCTGAAGGCCCACCATTCTCAGAATTTCTACAGGCTCTCCACTGTGGCTCCCTGGATGGGTTTCATGGGCAAATCCTAGTAGCCAGCTGCATGACCATGTCCAGATGACCTTTGAAGCCATCTGGGTTTATTCCTGTATTTGATTCTTCCCCCCCATAGGTCGTGTTCAAGTCCGACCCCAGTCAGCTCAGTGAGGCCAGCAGACAGCTGGGATATTTATGAAGAAGCTGTTGGTATTTTACCAAGGCTCTTGCTGGCCATCAGCCTTGGGATGTGGACGTGTGTGTCGGCGAGAGGAGTCTCCCAGGGTGTGGTGCGGAGGCCGGATGGTATTTACTTACCCCAGAGAATCACCCCGGCTGTACCTGGTGACTTCAGTGTAGTATGACACAGAGTTGGCTACTTCCCAAATCTCTAAAAGACTTTTTTCTTTTCCCGAAGTGGCCAGACATTTACAAATCAGGTGTTAGCCCGTCTGTTGGTTTGAGGGAGAAACAGCAGTTGCTTTATACCATGGAGAAGGGGGTGAACCGATGACTCTTCCAGTCCCTCTGGATTTCTGGAGACAGGGGAAAGGCTGTACCAAGTCAGTGGCATCTGAGGAATCTAAAGGGGAGTGGATTTACTAGGGAGAACAGGAGAGATTTTTCCATGACGTTCCCCTGCTGTTCATCTGCAACCACTTTTTAAAGTTTCACCACGAGTGATCCCATTTCAGGTACTCAGTCTCTGCTTTTCCGTGTCCTCATCAGCAGGTACTTGTGATAAGCCTTGGTGTTTTCTCTTAATATATCCAAGTCGGGAGGTGGAGAGTGCCTGGAGGTGGATATTCCCAAGAAGAAGGTAGGGCCTCGTTCTCCACAACTTTCTTCGCCAGGCACACGGAGGGCTCACACATTCCCAGAGAATCTGGATGTGGCCTCTGAGCCAGTCACACAACCACAGAGTTCTAACTCGCCCAGCCTCCTGCCACTGCCAAGAACTCACGAGATTAACCCAGGATCCTAACCTGTGATGGGTTTACGGACGTCTCGGGGGCAACCTGGCAACTTGCCTGCTCTAATGTTCTTCTGTTTACCTCCTCTGCTTGCTCTTTTGAGGAGTGAGGAGCGTATTGAAAAATGCAATGCTTATCTTCTATTTACGTCCAGTTGGACCACAAAGATGTCTTCACTAAGGGCATAGCCAGGGCAGACGGGGTGCTTAGGGTATAATACAAGATTTTATTCACGCACACACACACACACACACACACACACATAGTCCATATCACACGCAAGTACCATCTAGATATTGATAACTTTTATTTCAATACTCCTATTTTAGGTGAGGTCAGATCCTGCTCCTCGTTTGGGTGACATTGTTGGCTCTGTCCTCAGACATGGGCTCTGACATCACCTTCCGCAAGGAGCCAGCACAGTCCTTCCCAGTGGGGACCAGTCATCTTGCCACTGGAACTGTTTGTGTTTGCAGTCTTAGAAGAGGAGGGCAGGGGGACGGGGTACACTGGTCAACCCTATGCGGCCTTTAAACCACGTGTGCAGGAGATCAGGAACGGCTGTATCTTCCAGGCTCTATATGGGACTAGATCATATTCTTACCAGATTTTCAAAAGAGGAAGAGAACGTCAGATCTGCTGCTCAGGAATATGGCTTGAGAATGGGTTTCCCCTATTCTAAATCCCTTTGGTTTTCTCCTAGCTGGACGGAGAAAGGAGCGCTGGTTTCCACTGAGGCCGAGGCCCCCCGTCCCTGGCTGCGTGTTCAGTCCCCCTCTCCTCTGCACAGGCTCCCAAGATGAATAGCTCGCTGGTTGGCCCCGTGCTGCCCACCCAGCTACGCTCCTGTGTGTGTGAGGGGACAACCAGAGGACAGTCACAGGAGCCCATGTCGTGGGGGTCAGCCTCGCCTCAGCTCCTGAAGCCACCTGGCGGCTCGCAGACAAACCGTCTCTCCACATCTGTCACCTGCAGCCGCCGGCTGGCCGAGAAGGGGAAGCTGGCTGGTCCTCGGGCAAGGGGATGGTGACACCGGGGAAGGAACCATCCTCACTTCCTGTAAGATGGGCTGCCTGGAGAAGAAAAGCCAGAGGCAGCTGCTAGCACGGACGTGGCATCCTCACAGAGTCCCCTCTGTCCCGTACAAGCCCTTCTTTCAACCGGCTCTGTGCAAACAGAATACAGAGAACCTTCCCTTCCGCCCGGGTCACCTGCTCTGCCCCGGGGCCTGACTCACGTGGCCATGCTCTTTCCTCACAGGAAGCAGGCTGCTTGGTGTGGGGCACTCCGCAAGTTTTGCTGGCAATGGTTTCGCTGTTCGTCGAGGCCACAGGACACGAGGCTGCCGCCAGCCGGGCTATCTACGCGCAGGCAGGGCCCCTGGGGCAATACCGCGATCGCTGCCACCGGGGGCTCTGGCCTGGTGTGGCCTGGCGTGGCCTGAAGCCAGGGCGCCGGGGGCCGGCCTTGCTCCCTCTCTCTGGCCACGCGTTCCGGCATCTGCGGGCACTTCCTCGTAGGGGTGGGGTAGGGCAGGGCACCCGGCGGGCCTGTGGGAAGCAGCAGCTTGAGCTGCACAGCTGGTGGGGACGGGGGGCTGGGGCTTGGCTGTGCGTGTCCCAGCAGACAGGCGCGGGAGAAGAGGGGGGCCGGGCCTGCCCTCCAGCCACGGCCAGGCCAGCGGGGCTCGGGTTGACCAGAGCGCCCCGGGGCTCCGGCAGGAAATGAGTGGGGCAGGGAGGGCGGGGGGCAGCAGAGCTGCAGAAATGCACATGTCCTGAGTGTGACAGATTTCCTGTTGCTTGACGTCCTTTGGTCCCGTTTCTCGTTTGTTTTCCTTTATTTTGATTTATTTTATTTATGTATTTATTTTTTTTAAAGCTTTTATTTTTAAGTAATCGCTATACCCAACATGGGGCTCGAACCCACAACCCTGAGATCAAGAGTCGCATGCTCCACTGACTGAGCCAGCCAGGCGCCCCTCCCTTATTTTTAGTTGAGACTCTTTAGAAAGGCCCCGGCTCAGCTGGGGAGTGGAGGAGAGTGGCCAACTGGCCAAGGCTAGGAGGGGACAGAGAGAGGAAGTGGTCTCTACAGTGCCCGAAATGGCAGGGGGAGGCCCCCTGGGCCCACCCTACCCTCAGTCCCTCTGGCGGCCCCACCTCCAAGGCACCCGCCGGTTTGGTTTCCAGGCTGCCTGAGTCGCTGCTGCTGCCTCCCACCCGGAGGCAGGTCCAGGTTTCAGGGCCGACCACGCGAGTCCCACAGAGTTGGGGGGATCTTAACTCTGAGGGGCACTGTCCGGGTGGTCTCCGTCTGCCAGGTTGTGTGTGAGTCCCCGAGGCCAGTGGGCAATTGCATAAATAGAAAGATGAGTGAAGAACTGGTCTCTAGGGCAGAAGAAGACACAGGCCGGGGCCCCGGTCCCGCAGGGAGGGGGAGCAGCTTTCCCTTTGGCCTGCGGGGCCCAGAGAAGCACAGTGCCCTGCCCTCCGGTCTGACTTACTCTGTGGGCCCCTCGGGGAGGCCGACATGAAGCTGGGGCGGCTGGCCTGCTGGGGGCTGCATGAAGAGAACTGAGGGGCCAGAGCGGATGCCTTGGCCTTGGGTAGGTTCAGGTCCAGGATCTCTGGGGCACTGGGGGTCCAGGGCTTGCAGGTGAAGGCTGATGTAAATTCCCTGGGACGAAAAGTATGCATGCTTAGGAGTCGCAGGAGGTAGGAAGGGCTTACCCCGCCGAGCGCCAAGATGCCACGCAGGCACGGTCCTGGCACGGGGTAGGGGTGGGGTAGGGCAGGGCACCTGGCGGCATACATCCCTGCCCCCACGGAGCTCACACTCTACGGGAGGAGGAAGATAACAAAAAAGGAATAAATGCAGGGCGCCTGGGTGGCTCAGTTGGTTAAGCGACTGCCTTCAGCTCAGGTCATGGTCCTGGAGTCCCGGGATCGAGCCCCGCATCGGGCTCCCTGCTCAGCAGGGAGCCTGCTTCTCCCTCT